ATGATACAATAATTAGGTTTTTTTTGATAGTTTCATTATTATTTTTTTCCGAGCGTATTTGCATTTTAACTCGAATTTAAGAATAATTGAAATACAATATATACATATATATTTATTCAATCATACATGTTTATTTATATATATTTGTCCCTTGCTGTGCACTATTGTGATAATGTGATTTAACGTGGTTTAGCAAAACATTCATTACAAAAAATTACGTTATTTTAAATATATTGTTATTTTGCAAGGTATGTTCTTTTCTGACAGATCTTGTCATGTTATGTAACATATGTATACATACTTTGTAGATGTCTTGGTTCCCTCGGAATCCTCGTGTAAAATAACAATAGCATAGCTTAATTTATATGAGTGCTTTGTTTCAATTGCAAAAGGTGACGTACTATTTATCTCTCGAATATTATTTATCTTAATGTTAATATGTGATCGTCATCTATCGTTTTAGACGACACATGTTTATTGTCCGCTTCATAAATTGGTCCTTTTTGCGGTGTATACTGGTCACGGGATATTGGGGAAATTCAGAAAACATCTAATATCTCTTAATGCATGTCATGGCATGTGGTGACTAACATTCCTCTGCATCGAAAAATATAGGTGAAATCAAAGTGTTTTGAAGTTTTCAGATAAGAACCAGGTTTCTCAACAATACTGATAAACAAATCTTCGATGTTCATATTTCAAAATCCAATATGAGATTTTGATGGCGACTATAAACTTTGCAAGGAGTCTTTACCACGCTGAATCTTTCAAACTGTATTACACATTTGTCCATCAGTGTCCATGAGGGCACATTAAACAGACCCGGTATTTTTCTATATTTACATATCTTTCTTGTTTAAGACATATTCCTACAAAAACCATTTGCCCTGCCTCAAAATGCATTTCAGGCGGCCATTTTGTTTGTTTACATATTCCTACACCTGAAACAGGCAGTTGTAATTATAGTCGAGCAGTTGTAATTATAGCCTATATAATTACACTTGCCCTCTAACTCTGTTGTAATGGGACGGGGCGGGGCAAATGTAAATATATGCTTATAAACACCGTTGGTTGAGGAATCAGGGGTGTCATAATGTAATAGGGCATCAGTGGGGGGACACAGACACAGGTCCATTAGATGTGGAGGAGTATCCGAGTCATAAACCAATCAACACCTTGTTTCAAAGTTAACTGCCAAGGGACCCGTTAAAGTATGGAAAATGCCATGTACGTTAATAACAGCACTCAGTTTAAAAGACAATGCCTACAGTGCAGAGCCAGTATGACATTCAATGAATCTATATACGAGCTCCCCGTGGTATAACCTATAAGTATGTTGAAGTAGTCTATGATAATAACCATCCCCTCTCAGTACGCTGACATACGTGAGATAACAAGATAACAAGCGTCAAGCTTACCCTAACGTTCCCTACGATGGAAATACTACTTTCAGTACACCGGTAGCACTGCTGTCAGCGCCTGGGTAAAGAGGGTTTCCCCTCCTAGTATAGCCGGCTTTCTGGCCACGCAATTCACTGTTTTTGCCTGTGCATCCCCTTTTATATCCCACACTTCTGGACCTCTGTAACGTTTAACTCTAATTCTTAGTTGCTTTACTTCAAAATGGGCATCATTGCATGGGGCACATAGTTGTGTAATAAAAAAAAATGTTTGAGGTACTGTGTTTGGTTAAAATTATCGTTACTGTATTCAACCTATCTTTATAGACATGTCCTTACAAGTACTCCGTGTCTTACTAAGGCTTATCACTTGCATCCTTTAATCCCTTTACTAACCATTTCACTGTAGTAAATGGCACATGCTTTCTATTTAGTATTTAATTTCATACTTTTGATTTGGTTTTTGTTCTTGGTCTAGTATTTGTCATTCAGTCAATCTGTTAGTCAGGGAGTATGTAAATATCTTAACCGGTATTTCACAGAAACGACATTTTAAAACTGTCACTCTGGTACACAACACTAACTGTTTTATTTATCTTTCGCTCATTCGTTAGATAGTAAACTGGCGGTTCCGGGTTTGACCTCTAGAGTAAAGACATTAAAAAACGACCTCTTTTACATAGGTATGAATGATCCCTTTCGCTGAAACTTGTTAATTCTTTAATATGAGATTGATTGGAAAAGTATCAAGGCCACCTGGAAGATATTAAGGATTTTGAACGTCAAATCAAGGCGAATCGGCGAAAAAAATGGCCACACGACTAGTATGTGTTTTGTTAGTATTTTTAATGTAAAATGTTTGTACAACTATTTCATGAAAACTACTGCAGGGATCATGTAGTTTATGTTGTTCAAAATGTGAGATGGATACTTGCAAAATGCCATTATCATCTTCCATTTTGTAAGTTAAGTTTGTTATTGCTATTGTCTTTTGATGCCAAAAAAGCTTAATCACTGCCTACATGTAAAGTTTGTTACTTCTATTTCTTGTTCCTTAAAAGATATTTTGCACCTTTTTTTTAACTTAACTTTTAACAAACTTATTTTTGTTTGTATACATTTGTTGATTTGTAATGCAACAACTAAAATAGAATATTTTCTTTGATTTATGTTTAAAACAACACTTCCTCTATTTCTCCATACGTTGAGGCACTGGGCAGCATATGATCAACTGACATACGCATAGCTGTTCAACGTTTGTTTTGCCAGAACCCCTTATAAAACTGATACAAAACTGATCGTTTTTTATGTACCAATACAGAAATGTTTTGAATGAGATACAGACAATATGTAAGAGAACATGATCAACATCTCACTTGTTGTCACAGATATCACCTCTATACTACAGGGTATATGTTTTCAATTTCATTATAAATACACCGCTAGCTACCTTTTCAAGTTCAATATCTTTCAATATATATATATATATATATATGGCTATTATTAATTGTATTCTACAGTATATGTCACGGTTATGTACACATGTTGTGCCAAATCAAACTTACACCTGAGATCAACACCATATAGGTATCAGAATGTCAACTTATATATTACTGGTCAACATCGATACCAATAATCAGCATAAATCATGAACATACGTTTTTGCTCATGTTATACCGAAGCAAACTTCTGGATATCGAAAGTCGATGTGCAGGTCAGAAAAGCTCAAACTCATGATTAATGTGATATATTTTTTTAATTTCGCATCTATTGTCGAAGCAAATTTATACCAAAGGTCAAATGACAGATCACCTAAGGTTATTTGTCTAGAGATTATTATTATTAAGGACAGGATAACATTCATTTCGCTGGCACATATTGTCTTAAAAGTTATCAATAGTTCCATTTGATGATAACTACCAATCAGCTATTCATTTCATTCGCACATCTTATGGACCAAAATAATCCAACGGTCAAACGTCAAAGTTTTTTTTGATAGTTCAAATCAAATAAGATGATTCCTGTTAGACTTGCAGATTTTACAACATAGGACAATATGTATGGGTCACCAAAAGTCATAGGTCAGTCTAATTACATGTATAGCAATAGGAATATCCATATGAAATACATTTCATTAATAAAACCAATAGTCAGATATATTATCTGCGTAGGGTTCAGGCTTCACGCCATAAAAACGCTTTATACAGAACAATACCGACACAGAAACATTAGCAGTATTATAGCTTCAAAATACCCCGTGCCATTACACTGATGACCGTTCTTATCAGTAACACCTAAAGCACCGGCGTATGTGTTAAACACGCATACATTTAAACCTGACCTTTTCAGGGATTTAACTGAACTTTTAACGGAAGTTACCAGGGTAAGCGCATGCGCGTAGTCACCTTTCACAATAGGCAAAACGATTAAATCTCTTATTTGACAGATATATTATCTGCGTAGGGTTCAGGCTTCACGCAATATAAAACGCTTTATACAGAACAATACCGAGACAGAAATATTAGCAGTACTAAATTGAAAATGCATTGTATATGACTTAGACTGGTACAAGGCTGCAATATGTTACACACATATCCCTTTACAACGTCACCTTTATAGTTTATAAATAAAGAGCCATTGCAATGAGGACACGGCCCGGTGTGTAGCTCGCTCGTTTACCTGCGGTCACGTCTGGAGTCCACAACTAAAATGCTAAAAATATCAGTTATGGCGAACGTACGCATTATATGGGCACCCCTCCTTTCGATGTAATAGATAAACCGTTTCAAGTGTCGTAATGGCTTATTCTACATCATGCATAACACAATACCACAACAATACGATGAACATATTTTCACTACTACAGTAGGACCCCATTTCTTCCATCGGATTAAGAGTTACAGATGCGCAATAATCTAAGATGTCAACATACAAATATGAAGGTGTCGCAATAACGTTTTCGTTATGTCGATATATTATCACTTTTCACAAGATAACTTTAACTTAATATATATCACGTAGGTAGGTAACTCGGTGTTTAATCCTGTTATGCTATGTTTGATATCGACTTGCCACTTGTTGATGTTTTATATAAATAATATCAGTAAACAAATATTATTCCGAGAGAAATTATCATGCGATGTGCTTGTTAGGACTGATCATCAATATGCCTCGTTTTGGGTTTCGTAAGTGGATTACATAGCGGGGATAAGAGACACTAGGATACATGTAGGTGATTGCTGCATAGGGGTCAACCGGATCACGACAGGTTTTGCGGAAACACTTTTTGATCTGAAAATATAATATACTTTGATTTAAATTTAAATAATATTACTGATAAATTAAATTTCTTGACAATAAAACCCGCCGGTTAATGATCAGAATGTACCTCAAGGCTACGACATATACAGTCTTTGCCAGTAGAAAATATTGTCAAAGAAAGTTTAGAAAAGTGCACAGACAAAAGAACAAGATACCAAATACTGACAAAAAACAACCTTATCGAATGGCTGTGCAATTTGATAGATTAGTAAATAATACTATTTACTTCCTTATTGGATAGTTGTGCGCTTGCGATATAGCAGACACAAAGCACCCGTATTATATGATACGCAGTATATGTAGAATGAAGGTGTGTAATATCTGGCTGCTGGGGGCTCTGTGTATCTTATCAACTTTAATTATTGTCAACACATCAGGTATGATTGGATGTACACTTTCTGTGTATTCTTCATTCTAATGTAAAACTATACGTCACATTGATTTAGATCTACATATCATAGAATAAGCTGTAGGTGTTTTACCATGAAAAATATTGCTGATATACCAGGTAGGGGTAAATATTTAGCGTGTACCTTAGATTCATTTTCAAACTTCCGCGTTGCACAGTTTCTGTGACAAAGTATCAAACGATATGCATTTATTTCAAGATACGTACATATAGAAACAGCACATTAACAATATACTAGTTCTGTTTCAAATATTGCCTTACAATTGTGCTTTGTGTCTACTGGTCTTTCTATTGTATTAACATTGGTAGGGCCATTGTTATGATTTACAACATTGTTCGCAAGTCAATGGTAGTAAACATTAGTCTTTCATAATCGGTATGAGCCTATTTAATCCACCAACAACTAATATGTATACGTTAGACGAGGGACTTATTGTCTTTATATATTAGTAGTATGCTATTATATCTACTTTGTTTTTAACGTAACGTATGTGTTTTATGTTTTAACGTGTGTAATTTGACCTTATAATGTCTATTTTGTTGGGTTTACTTTCTTGTCCCAAAGGTCTATAATAACGGCAGTATGATCCAATATAGATACTGGATCCGAGCATGCAAATGTTTGTTGGTTGTGTATTACTGAACTTTATTTGTGGGCAAAGAAGAAATAACGGCAGTTCAGACAGTGACAGTTTTCAATTATTCATTGCGATTCGCCCACACATTTTCTCACAGGGTATCTTTACATTTTGTTCTATTTACGAAGTTGATCTCGCGTCTTCGAGATAACTATTTAACCATATTGAGACTTCGGTAACAAGCTACACGATCGCATATGCACTAATATCAGCATATTTCTTAATTCATAAATGTTGTTTTTTTTTGGTCTTTTTTTAAATGATAGTAATTAGTAACATGGGCATTTGATCATGCATTTTAAAACGAAGAAGAAATCCGTCTAATTAGTTATCCCCAGTTCTTTTAAAGATGATCATGACAGTTTCAATTTAAAGTATTACATAACATACAAGATTAATCAACCGGTCAAATCATCACTATAATAACAAAGTCCTGGTTCTTTTTTCTATGATTTTGACGGTACATTTGTACATTTTTTACCAATATTAATATCCGTTCTCCATAACGTTTTGCTCATCATTTGTTGTTTTTTTGATACTTTATTTTACCATCAACACATTCCTACATTGGTGACAATGCAATGCTGAGATTAATGACGATTATTAGTTCTTAATATCGGCAATATATTTCATTTTATTGTTTACAGTTAACACCAGTCGTGAACCAAATGTCAAAAACACCACTCAAAGTTCAACCTACACTACTGCATATCCGAGTTGCAAGGTGGTGGACGGCTGTAGAACACAAATACTCAGCAGCAATTGTTGTTCACATACACAGGTAGATCAAATGGAAGCATGGTGGCAAGTAGATCTAGAGGAACTTATAATGATGGAACACGTCAAAATATATTACAGAGGTGAGTAATCAAATCAACAATAAAATTCTGGTAAGCTTAAAGTGCCTGTGAATATTTATATATAACCTTTAGACAGTACTGTAGTGTCAAAATGCGTATCGTTTCAGACGACTCATATTACTCCAACCTTGCTTAATGCTATATTCTCTCGGTGGTTTCTACTACTTATTACCAGAATTGATTTGATGCCCACATACGAAACGTGGTACCTCTGTCTATCTAGTGGTGCCCCGTGTATATCCGTGTTGATGTGAAACACTGGCGGTTATGAGGTCGGTTAACCTGGAGTTAAAACGAAATGCGTTAAAATATTCACAATCAAACTAGATATTTGCATAATACATCATTCAGTGACATCTGTTTTTAGATATACATATTGCATAACAAACCCCAAATGACTGAAAGGTCCGTTAGGCCTACACCGAATTGGCACAAACAACACGGATGACGTCATACGACATAACAATACAGAAAGTCCAATGCAAAGGTTATATAATTACGTATAATGTTTACAATAAATATATCAATAGGTGAGTTGTAATGCTGTCTATGTTGTTTGTAATTCTGACTAATGATTATTCGGTCCAACAGGTTGTAACTCCACACCACATGTTTTCATAACACTGTTGTATGTAAACCCTGAATGAGTTCGTGTTTATTAACGACGGACTGTTGTGTATACATGGAATACTAGTATTGTAAACCCCAAGGGATCTGACTCGGTTTTCTGTGTATACGTAAACACACGACACCGGTCGATACATCTGTAAGCACTTCTGTCTGTGTACCTGTGGATAGGAGGTTTGGTATTTTAATCCTTGTTAGAAACAATTTGATTGAGGAGTTTTACTGATAATAATAACGAACAATGATTCCTCCCTTTACATATGCTTTGATGTGATATAGCAGTGTAATGGAACGTTATAGAAACATTACCGTTAGAAAGTTAAATATATTTTATATTGATATAAATAGACCTAGTTTATGACCTAGTCTAAACAATGCAGTATAATTTTGGGAAATATTCTGTAACAATATATTAATTCATACAGGCAATGATGGGCCACGGGGCAACACCATTTCAATGAATGTTTACTAGATGCTAACACTACTCCAACTTTACGGTTTCTTTGACTGAAACATACATTTTTTTCTAGATATTGACACATTTATTTAAACAGCACGATTCCGGGATTTCCTTTGCATAACAATTAATGTGTGCCTGCCTTTGTCTGTTTTTTATATGATTCCGGGATTTGTTTTGCTTAACAATTGCAATGATTTCACAGATATTCCGTTAACTTTATGACGAACGTGTTACACACACTAGTCATTAGGGTTATTCGCCAAGTGTTGAAAAGGCATATCAATTTTGATTGTTTCTCATTATTATTATTTTTACTATCCTTACACGATATTGTGACCACATTATCTTTTTATTGGTAGCGAGTGTGTTTATAGGCTTTCGGATGTGTTGTAGGTCATTGTCAGAGGGTGTGCACTGCATTATTGAAGCAAACAATTTCAATTGGTTCATAATTCAAAATGGTCGCAGTTTGTACATCATGTGTAGATAATGTCCGATGCCAATTGTTTTCTCATTACATGCGATTAGAATTTGTTACACATTTTTCAACTTTTTCAACTTTTGGTTTGCAATCAGGTTTCGAGGTCACATCTATCAAATGGTTAAAAGAATATTTTTTTTATAGGTCCCGATATTTCAAATGTGCTATTTTAAGGTACAACCACTTTGAACATTTTCATCTCAGTTCTACTATTGCCAATAGTCTTAATAGGTTCAGGTGGCTATAACGATTCAGAAAGAGGCCTAGGTCCACGATTTTTGGCAAGGCGCATTCTAGAACGAATTTTTGTTTTACATGGATTCAATAAATAACATTGATTGACATTAACTATGACTTTAACAGTGACTGCACAAATCCATCTTATATATTTTTTCAAGTTTGAAATTGATTCATATTAAACTAAAACATAGCTACTTTTAGTGGGAGATATTTGGCGAGATGTATGAGTAGGATAAAGGAAAGACAGAACAGCTATATGGTTTTGTTGGGGGGGGGGGGGGGGGGGGGTGGTGTCATTTTTAAAGACCAGAAAGGGGACCGACACCTTTTTCATTAAGAAGCAGTTTCCAGGCCTGGTGACTAGTGTAATTCCAGGGCAAAATGAGAAAACAAATTAAAATCCCTATTTGCTCAGAAGATTTCTGCATCAGTTGTCTGTTACAGAGCATGCTGTCGGTAACAACAGGCATATGCTTATTTCTCAATAATCGACCTACAGGGGTGTTTGAAACGTTTCACTGGTAAACTAACACGATCCGTATTTTTCTCGCGCGAATTCTAAACTGCGCGGATTGTATTATTCCTTGCTAAAACGTGAAAGTAACCCTGCGTAAAAACAATATATGAGCATTAACTCTAGAGGAAAAAATTGTTTATCAAATTTAGATCAAGGGGAAAAAGATCATGAGCAAAGACAACGATTTGGTGGCTATCAAATATACCAGTCGAACACTTCGGATTGGCGGAACGGTTACCTTTGCCATAAAGACACAACACCAACGGCGGCTGCGTTGTCATTGACTCCCCAGATCAATTGTACAGGTAGCGCCCAGTACCTGACGATATACAGCGACAGACGGTCAGAAAGTCTATCGTGGTACTCTAATAATTCATTTCTGGAGCTTTGTGAGGTAGAAGTGTACGGTAAGTAAATTGAATATTTAATAATACGAAAGTTTGTTATACTTGTGTGTATGTGGCTGTGTTTGTGTTAACACAAATCGATAAAATTGATGAACAAATTGTTGAAAGGATAATGGAGCTTTCATAACTCATGTTCTAGGTCAAGATAAATATTATTAAAGAAATAGGGATCACCATGCTAACATCGTTGCAATTCAATTAAGTACCAACTTTATTTACTTTGTTTAATTATAGACGTGATATATTTTATTTCAAAATTAATGTTTAGCATTCGTTATTTCCTATGCTTTTGTTTGTGAAGTTATTAATGTTCTTGTGTATCATTATAAGGCTGTATTTGATGTTACACGGGAAGGAATTTGTACAACCAAGGGATCTATCTAGAGATAGGATAACTGAAATTGGTTAAATATGTTATAGCATATTCTTAATGTTTTTAATATTTGTGCTTATGACACAAACTCGTATGCTTATACATTTCAGGTTGTCCACTTGGGAAATATGGTGATGGTAACTGTGATTCAAATTGTGAAGGGTGTGCCAATGGTCTGTGTGATCCAGTGACCGGAAAATGCGCATGTAATTATATATATCTTATTTTTTTTATACCCAATGGAACAAAAATACAACATGCCATTTGCCTATTGAACGAGAGAAAACAACTCAGTTGATTATTCATTTTTTTATAAACGAGAACCATTGCCATTAAACGTGTTTTAAGTACAAGAAAAAGTGAAGGTCGTCATCATAACCTGATTCAAACTATGAGGTTTTGTCTTTGCATGTCCTATCATGATAACATGTTTACATTATTACATAACTCATGCAATGTAGAATCCGGTTTTTGTTCCGGTAAGTGATTAGTTGTACTTCAATTTAAATCAGTAGTCATATGAAATTCATTTTTTTTTTACATTTTGTGTTAATACAAATTCTTGTCATAAAATATATTGCATTCGATGTGGGGACACTCGTACATTTAAATTGAAAATTATATCAATTCTAAGGTATTTGTAATATATATTAATCAACTTAATGATATCAGGTTATGATTACATTATTTTTACAATTTAGATTTATCTTGCTTGATGTTATTTCGAAATATACATGTATCAATCACAATTGAGTAGAATCAAATATTCAGTGAAAATCACTAAAACTTAAATGAGGAAAATGTAGCTCCTTACCATTTTGTTCTTATTCTGACGTGTTTTTTGTGATTTTCCACGGAAGCGTGTATTCCCGGGTATTATGGTGGCCATTGCAATCAGACGTGTCTGTTCAACTGTAAAGACAACCGATGTATGCAAAACAATGGAGAGTGTGGAGGTATGTATCAGTTGAAGGTACCATAGGCATGTATAGAAATGTCATGGAAAAGGGAAAATTTAGGAAAGTATATACTATTCATATAATCTATTTCTCATGTTAACATAGATAATTCAGATCAATTTTGCATAAAAAGAATTCTACGTTACTGACACAGATCTGAGTTTTATTTTATATAACGTCTAATAAATGAAAATTAAAAGGATATGCAAATAATAATAATGGTGTGGGATGTGCAGCCCTACAACTGAGAGAAAACAAATATAGCTCAAACGTGCACAGCTATTGTCGTTTTACGTAGGTTTTCGGGAAAATTAGCATTATCTTTGCGAATCAAGATCGGTAATCAATTACCATGTCATGAAATCAAATTTGTTTTAAGAATGTATCCTATGTTAAACTGTTGTTATCATTTTTGAATAGATATGCAGTGTGAAATCATTCATCAGGGATGTGCTGGTTAAACGTTTATTTTGTGTGCAGAATGCACATATTTACATTATGATCAATAAACCTGATGGATCTTTAAGATAACCAAACGGCTAACCTGATTAGGTACGGGGAAATGAGTAACATTATTTATCCAAATGCATGTCGTAGTGCAAGTGCTATGACTGCTCTGAGAGCAATATATGGATTTGTTTTCTAAGTTAACAGTATTGTCGTATTCAATATTTCACACAAAGAAATGTATAACGATTGAAATGGAAAACCGAAGTTTAGGCTTCACATATTTGTGTAATTTTAGCTTGCTTGAACGGCTTTTATGGGATAAAGTATGATCGGTAATGTTTTTTTAGTTGTGAAAACAACACATGTACACAGTATGAGTGAAACTGTACAGATACAATGTATGGTGACTCTTATATTTGTGTTTTGTATGCTCAAAGTAATGAATTTGAATTATTTATACAAATTTCATATGATTGACTAGATTTCTAAATGTACTTGAAGATAGATACGAAACAGTTGTGTTTTTATTGTAAGAGAGATACGTGTACAATCGTATTTGTGTTATATTCAAGCCTGCGTTTCTTCTAAGTCTAGTTTGAACATATACCTAATATTTTTTTTGATAGTGTCAAGTGAACGCTGTAGTCATTTTACCTCAAATGATTGCCGATGTTGTTATTATTTAAGCATGCAAACCTGGATATTTTGGTGGTACCTGTAACACAAGCTGCCCGTCAAATTGCAAAGGGGATATATGTTATCAGACCAGTGGATTATGTACAGGTATGGTGATATGCAAGGTTATTGACGAAGATACACTTTACTTATCGCCGAGAAATGATGCGTGCGATAGTATTTTGTTGCGTGGAATATTACGTTTTTGAAACGTGGTTTTCGTTTCGGCATAGTAAAAGATAGAGTAACTGAATTTGAGGATATGCAAACCTAGGTCTCAATTTACTAGACATTTGATATTAAACGACAAGAGTTTGTTTTAAAATGTGAATCATTAGCACACAAACTACATAGACCAAATAACAAATATATAGATGTCACAAACGAGTGGTTATTGAATATGATATTTATTTCACTGGAGTTAGTTAATTTTCAAAAGTTATAAAAGTCACGAGCTTTAGCGAGTGCCTTTCTGTAGTTTTTGAAAATTAACTAACGGGTCGTTTGATCTGTTTATACCACAATCTCAGTCGGAAACAGCTGAAGTATTTACAGATTTGAATAGCATACATACATTTTGTTGACAGGGCTGGCATAGTGATATGACACATATGTAAAAATAACTCATTAATATTCATTTTTTTATTTTATTTTTATCAATTTAATAACTTTCAAAATTCATGTTTCGGCAACAACTTCGTGAAAAAAATATTAATTAGTATAAATTAAACACGGATTATATGCACGTAAGCATATCGTACGAAGTCTGCCTTCCGCCAAGTGATGAAGGCGACCTAATCGCTGTCAATGTGTAAAACCATAGGCCTTGGTCGTTTCTTCGTGAGGTTCTATGATTGACGTTTATAGTGAGAGTTCCGCCATAGAAAGGTCTCCGAATATTGATAACGGGACATGGGGAGAACAAAATATTTTCCGATAATGTTACAGATCTTGTTTGGGTTTCACAGTGAGATATATATTACGTCTCTGGGTTTCACGACCGCATACGCGACGGTATGAAGTCGAAACGATAACTACGTCTATAGCAATTGTGCATGAAACTAGCGATCAAATCTTTAAGCATCATCTTCTTTTATCATTTCCTTAATAACCTCCCTTTTCCTATCGCATAACCTCACAAAAGTCAACAACATTTGCCGGATATTGACAGCAGACGACGTAAACGAAACAGAATGCGGCAAAAAGCGCGTGAAAAAAGTCGTCCGGTCAAGGTTCATCGTCTCGACCAACCAAAACTACGGAAGACCATACCCCAACTTTTGTTTATAACTCATATTTATGCAACAGTCTGCATGTGTATACAATGATCTGGGAGTGGAATAACAGAGCGTATTGTGGTAGAAATTCATATATTACATTGTACACTTCCTCCAGCAAAGTAAACATAATTGCTGAAATAAACATGTTGTATAAGCATTGATTTAACGAGACATCAACACATGTATCTGTTAAATTGTGTTTTAGAATGTGGAGTCGAGTTGTATGCCATTGACTGTAAGCACACTTGCCCGTTACACTGTCGCGACTCACTATATGCCAGAAGTAGCGGGGATTGTTCAGGTTCAATGTTGTAAAATTAGAGTCAGCTTTTCTATCTGTCGATCATTGAACCCTTTTGGTGATAGACTAGGGTGCGTTAATTAAGTTGTATGTGCTAACAGTTTCTTTTTTGGGTCCCTGTGGCCCTATATTGATTGCCGTACAGTGTACAAATGGATGGATGCCATTGAGATAGCAATAGTTCCTCATTATTTCTGATTTTGCCAAATATTATTTTGTAAGTGCATTATTGCATTGGAAATTCTATCTAATGCATCATTTGTAAAACCATGCTCCGTTTAGAGGTCGACTTCTTTTATGGACTCTATCACAATACATACTTGTTAAATTGTACAATTTTTAATATTTCTTGTTTACTCATTTACATTTTTGTTTAGAGTTGGATTATCCAGGGCAACTTTTAATATTATTTGTTTTGATAACTGGCCGGATATGCAGTCAACCTGTAATCATGGGGATTAGTGAACTTAATTTAATGTACTAAAGGAGTCGTATGTGTAAATATGAAATGTTTGTATTGTAGCATGTGGACCTGGTTTCTTTGGACAAAATTGTAATATGTCATGTTCTGGTCAGTGTAACAATGATGAATGCCAACAGAATAACGGAACGTGCAAAGGTACAGTTGACATATCATTAACGTACAGAATATCTAGTCAAAGTATCTATGGCTGAGCTATTAATCATGCATAGAAAAGATATTCATTATTCACTGATACTTTATTTGGGAATATGCATAGAGAAGCCTGTTTAATGAGTAAGATTCAAATTACGTACTATTATTATAAAAAAGACAATGAATCATGTACATTTTGTTCCATTTCTCTATCGTCAATTATAATCATAATATTTCACCTGAAATATCTTTTTTCGTTTTATATTGTATGCTTACTTCAAACGATAATTTCTAAAAGCTACGAAATGTTTAGTCCATTTCAGTACAGATTATGTTTTTGTTTATAATTACATACCCAAACTCAATATTTTTTATACAATGACACTTCTATTCGTGTTCTTAAGTTTGTACGAGTGGATTTTTTGGACTTGACTGTGAAGAGGAATGTGGGCAGTGCAGTGCTGTGTTATGCAGTAGGTCTGACGGCCAATGCTTATGCAGCGACAAGACACACGGGAAATGTGGGTGTAAAAATGGCTGGGAAGGAGAGAAGTGCACTACAAGTATTTTGTTTTTATTTTGTATCCCCTTTTATTTTCAAAACAAATAACTGTTGATATTTCACTCAGTTTATGTAGATTTTGTTTAAAAAAAACATAATATGAAAATAACGAAACCATACTGGAATTTGTCAAATCTATTTCATATAAATTGAACGAGAAGTTATTAGCACACCTGTGTTAATTTCAGAAAAGGTGATGTCAGTGTTAGACGACCAAACTGGAACGTACGCTGGGATTGGTGTTGTAGCAGTGATTGTGATTGTTCTTGTTGTTATAGCAACAGTCATCATCCTTAGAAGGTATGCATTCATGGTTATTGTACTGTGAACCTTGGTAGATGCTATTTTGATATGTATTGATCGTTAACATTTCGATTTTGTTTTATGTCTGTATCGCTAGGAAACGATTACCAAAACACAAAAAAGAAAATCACCTTGAAGGCAGAGACAAGGCATTTGCAAATGTAGAGTCTTTACCAATCCCGTTTGAAACGCCAGACAATCAATCAAAAAGTGCAGGTAAGTGTTATACATATAGGCTTCCCTATATAACTGTCATAACCAAGTAAGGTGTTATCTGCATCGCCTTTGTTTTGTGTAAATGTGGAGGATAATAGTTTACTGAGTCAAACAGTTTCTTAGTATTGCAGCAGTAGCAATATATTTTGACTTTTGATTATAAGTCATTGTCGTATTCCATATATCAGCGTATCTGTGTATACAGCGTGTGGAGGTAAACAGCACAGGTATACTGTGTTGTAGCTACAGAAGAGAGGACTATTAGTGTCACACTGTTATGTTTGATTGACACTTTAATGTTTACCATAATCAAAAGCGGATGATTTTAGAAAGATATATATAATACGTAAAGGGATATTGATAATAGTAAGTAAGTACGATACTTTTCGCAAGTTTCAATTTTTCTTCAATACATATGTTTGATATTTAAGATGCTACAAGTGAAGACAGGCAGGTTTACGTGAACGTACATTACATTGACCCAAAAACTGATGACGACGTCGTGTATAACAACGTTGACGTCGCCGGTGTCCCAATTCATGAACTGCGGTCTATCATCGATAGCAAAATTCTAAATGAAGCGGCAGCATTTCAAGAGGAATTTCAGGTATGGATGCATGTTTACATCAACATTTAATGAAATATTAGATATCAATATCGAGCAGCAATAATAGCACATCATGACATAACGAAGGAATTAAATGGATCCTTAGGGTTGATTCTTAAAAATATTGAACACGCTCTATTTCTACTGGTATCAAGCAAATAGACATTTCCTGGTTTTGTTTTTATATCTTCTTTTTTTTTTACTTAATAAATTAGTTGCTTTTAGACTTTTCCAAGAAGAGCGGTACACCCGCACGAGGCAGGTAAAAAGACATCAAACACACCAAAGAACAGATTCAAGACAGTTTTCCCATGTAAGAAACTGTTTATTTGTATTCCATATCGATACACTTTACAAAAACAGATTTATAATCTTAATCAGATAAACTGCTTGGACATAGTATGTAGGAAATGATGATATATAAAGAAGCACTTGATGATTTCACACAAATTGTGTTTAGCATACATTTGTTTACATGTAAGTATATAACTATATTGCAGATGACCATTCCAGAATCCATCTAGATACAATCGGCAAGGACATCGATACCAGCTATATCAACGCAAATTATATCGATGTAAGTATATAGGCCGATAAATCGAGCTTTTTATATTGATTGTAACATACCTACAAAAGCAATGCTTATAGTTCTGTGAAGATAATTGTTTTTCATTTGTTATATGTGTTCGACGACATGGTATTGAAAAACTATAAGGTAACCAATGTGGTTAGAAGTGATAATTGAAATTCATCTAGACAACCTGATATAAAGATAAACTTCACATTCAATTTGAATTACGGTACTTTAAAAAAAAAAAAAAAAAAAGAAATAAAACAAAATGCATCATTTTTACTGCACAATGTATAATAAGTTGTATTCATGTTATATTAATTACAATAATATATTATATTTATCTTTTACAGGGTATTGAAAACGAAAAAGCGTACATTGCCTGTCAAGGTATTATACAATACATTTCAATGCATTTGTTAATGTTATTATATCCTATCAACTGAAAAAAAAGTTTAAACTACAATCAATAGCGACATTAACAATATAAATGTTTGTATAAAAACTCACAAACTGAACACAAATAAATCAAAGCCTCTTCTGAACAAAGGGGGACAATCCGTTATACATGTGTAATAGCTATGTTAAAACAAACATCAATATGATTAGAAAAAAATATATTGACATAATTTATCTGTTTGTCAAATAATCATTGTCATTTCGTCCCGATTTATAAACACTGCGGTACAAAGGACCGAAGCCAAACACTATGGACGACTTTTGGAGGATGGTGTGGCAGGTGAATTCTGGGAAGATTGTTATGCTGACAAACCTCGAAGAGGGTCGCAATGTATGTATTTTATAATGCTAGTGTACATGTATATCTATGTATAGTACACTAGGTTATGCTTGAAAAGTAAATAAAATAGAAAAAAAAATCCATAGGAATTTTTTCTCCAGTTTGTGAATGTGTGTACTGCAATTAAAATTTTATATTTTCATCGTACACTCGCTTTGGTTATTTCTTCAGGTAAAATGTCACAAATACTGGCCTGATGAAGGAGAATCACTTGTAACACCGACATTTGAGCTCAAACTTGACAGAGAGATGACCTATGCCTTCTATGTCGTCCGTGCTATTTCAATCACCAATAAAAAGGTATTGATTTCATTTAACATCATTTTGTAACCAACATGAACTATTTTTGTTTATTCTTTATAATGCAAGTGATAAAAATACGTGAGCTGATTATAACTGACTGCATTCTATGACATCCGTGACTATTCATAACTGACTGTAATGCATCCTACGGTTCTCCCTGTAGATAAATGAAGAGCGTCAGGTCCATCAGTTTCACTTTACGAAATGGCTCGACCATGAAACTCCGGACACGTTGGAGCTCGTCCTCTTTGACCGCCGTGTGACGTCATACAGAACACAACTGACGGGACAGATGATTGTACACTGCAGGTAAAATAACTTGTTGATTGTATTTTAGTCTTTTTGCTGTTGAATCAGATATATTTATGTAAGCAATACAAATGACAAGCGTCTCTTAGTACCCCTAGCTCTTTCACTCATTTTAAGGTTCATCAGGGGAACTGCTTTTTTATGTTGATAGGATATCACAGAAAGTGATGACGTCATATTACATTATGACATCGTTAGATCTTATATTTTCTATGCATATATATTGCAACTACAGCGCTGGTTCAATGCGATTATTTCGATTGTTCCCTTGACGCACATTAATCAAAAGTGATAATAATAATTTAACAGCTAATTGTGCTCGAGACCATTCATCCTTTTCCTTTGAACATCATCTGTTCTGCTGTATCGAGGTTAGAAACCAGATAATTCGACCCGTTTTCGTCTATGTTTGTGTAAAATGTCGGCTGTGAAAAATCCCTCTGCATAGTTACTTACTCACTTACACGGAACATATGCTTAAATATGCTATTCATTTTATTCATAAGCTTCGGTGTTCTGTTGGTGACTTTGATTGGCTTTAATAGTATTTGAAAATCATGAAATGTTACCGAAACAATCATAATCGACGAAACATGGTCAAACTGTGTAAAATGGGACATGATCAACACAATATTACAAAGACAATAGGAACAAGGGTTTCCGGTTAGCGTGTTTTGCTTCATCAGCTACTCTTGTCAGGGTCAAGGAATCATAAATATAATAACAATTATGATAATAATCATTCGAGGTTGGTATATACCGTTTTATTACAACCTACTTCATAGGTCGTATCAAAGCAGTTCACACATTATTATAAATGGTTATGGGAACTTTGCAACCAGCCAATACCTTTTTAAACTCCATGGGGAGCATACAGCCGGTGCTGCCATTTCGGTGCTCACAGCTAGCATTCGGCAATTCCAGCACTACCCAACCACGTACTCATTTACAGCTGAGTAGACTGAAACAAGCGATGTGAACTATCGTATTCAAGGATACAACACAGTGCTGTGACGTGACTCGAACCGGCAACCATTCGGTCACGAGTACGGCCACTAGACTCGTGCCTCCAATGTTGCTTTAGGTGTACAATAAAAAAAACACCGATATGCACAACAAACAAGGAATAATCGCATTGCAAACCAAACATCTCTCAAAACATTGTGCTCTTCTTCTTCCAAAATTTGACATTTATTATGGACATTCAAATATACAGTGCAAGCTCGTGAATATCAAAATGTTAGAGCCGTATCAAGTATTATTACCCCTGTGAGAAAAATCTATGAATCTGATTGGTTAAAAACTACAGAGTACCAAACCTCATTCGTAAATATCGGGGGGTATACGAAAATATCAGGGGGTTTACGGTCATGTCACGTGATTATCAACAGTAATACGGTGTAATCACGTGGTATACGGGTCACGTATCTTTGTATCTTGTGGCTGGGCAACGGGAGACAACTCGCATTCGTCGTCTGTTTCGCTGGTTACAAAATGGCAAAACGTTTCGCTTCACACACTGATGAGGAAATACTCCCCAAAAGGGCTAACCATGTGCCACAAAACACACAAAAATCCAACAGACGAGTGGCAAACATGCTGAGGACCTACTTAAAAGAAAAGAATCAGCGAGAACAGTTCGATGAATTATATAAAACAAAACTTAATGAGGTACTGTGCCATTTTTATCGTGACAACAGAAAAGTTGACGGGGAACTGTACAAAACCAGCTCTTTGGAAAATTCTAGACATGCATTCAACCGCTATTTAAATGCCCCACCCCATCTTCAAAACATTTATTTGATTCGTGACCCAGAAGTTAACGATGCCAACTATTCATTCAAAACAGCAATGAGCGATTTAAAAGCTTCTGGAAAAGGGGAAAGAAACCACCATGACGCGATAAATAAAGAAGATCTGATAAAAATGTATGGTAGTGTTCACATGGATCCCGACACACCTTGTGGTCTCCTTACAAAAGTGCAGTTCGAGATTAGACTCTATTTTTGTCGAAATGGTGGTGAAAATATGGCCAACAAGAAAAAAACAACATTTTCTGTTTGTTAAGATGCCGATGGAAAGAAATATGTAAAAATAACTCGTGATGAGCTCACCAAAAATCGACGAGAAAGGGAGAAGGAAGGATACACAGGAATCATGCCAACTGATGAATACCATCTGTGCCCCGTGGTTTCCTTTGAAAAATACATTTCAAAACTACGTTCTGATTTGGATCGACTTTGGCAGAGACCTATGTACTCTTTCTCTGATTCATCATCTGTGTGGTATTGTGCCCGCCCGATTGGCAATGATACACTCGGAAAGTTTATGACCAAGCTAAGTACCAAGTGTGTTCTTTCTCAGACTTACTCCAACCATTCAGTTCGTACAACAGGAATCACCATTTTGATAGGCAATTACTTTTCTTCGACCCAGATTATGTCACTTACCGGTCAAAAGTCGGTCAGCTCATATTCTGTATACCACCGAGTGTCTGATAATGAAAAGCATGAAATGGGAAATGCTATCACGCAAGCAGTCCGTGGAAATAAACAGCTTGTTCCGTTAGATACCCTAAATCGTGCACAACATGAACCCTCAAATGTAAACATTGCGCCATCAACTTTGACCAACACTTCTGTTGGAATGATAGCCTACAGGATTTCGTATCTCCTGAGGCCTATCCTGCCAAAATTTTGTGTAACTAATGATATAAGCGTGTGATTATTACTTTAACGACATGGACAGTTCAAAAAGATACATTTCTAACGCTTCTTTAACAAATAAGTAATACGATTTCGGCGGCGTAATGTTTAGAGTAAACTGCAAGGTAAGCGACTGATGAAGATGGATTTGTAACGTCCCTGTTTTCAAATTTACGATGTCTATATTTATTGTAAATAAATATTGTATAATAATATAGACAAATCAGTCGACGGTGGGGCTCAATTTGTCCCCATCGTTACGTCATAACACGCTGACAAATATCTGATATTGGATGTTTTTACTGTCGATAAAAATTCAAACTAATCTCATGCCGGACATTAAGTGAGGTTCGTACGTCTTGGTCAAGAAATAAAAAGGACTAGGGGCTTTAAGGGCCTTATCGAGGATTTATAATTAGTTGTTATATTCGTCGTCAAAAATAATTGGAGTATGCATATATTTTCACAATGAATGTTTGACTTTCGTTTGTTGTGTGCTTTTTGGTTGAAAAATTGCCATTTTGAATGAAATTAATTAAACACCCTTCAATATTTGAAAGCCTTCGCATGCAGCAAACAAATAGGTATGTGACATGCTTAAGCATTGCCATGCAAGTGCTGATTCGTAAAAAGGAGTTTTTGTTTGTCACATGCAGATGCTTTTATTTCTGGATGGCAACTGTCCAAAAACACCATATGTTAGATATTTTCTGCTTAACAACGCAATTTTGTAACTATGGTAGAGCATCTACACATGCGTATTGAACACAAATTGTACCAAGAAAGATAGTCCCAATTAACCAGTATGATGACTGTATTAGAAACTCGTTAGTTAATTCAAGTTTCAATGTTTACTTCATATGAGGCCCACAATGACCTACAACGCTCTAAGTCCTTTACGTTGTGTTCCCAGTTTGTATTTCAAGCTACTAATTAGTCTATAATGATAGGCCTGACTTTACCCACTCTGAAAAGTGTGTTTAATCCGGAATACTCCTGTTTTACCCAGTGCATTGTATCATTTTCCACGAAACTAGAATAAATGAGTATCTTGATATTCACATTCTGATTGATGGCAGGTGTCTCTCAATACTTTCCCCCTCAAAAAAAAAACACTCGAAGCTTTTCATTATTTAGATCGCCAGTTTACTAAGTGTTGGTTATGAATAAGGACATGCTAAAGTTATTTGACGATCACTTAAAAACAGCTGTTGCCTATAGTTGAAAACGTGGAAGCAATTAATTTAGAAGAACCGTAAGAAATAGCAGGGGCTCCTATATGTATTATGCTCTGTGGTTAGCTCCGACAGAATTGTGGTGTATATTGAATGTGTAAGGCATCTCACCCCTTGTCTACACAATGCAGTTTCATACATGTATAATACGCACAGACACCGGAAGTTCGGAGTTGTACCCATGTTCAATTCATAGTTTTTGTTCAATAGATTAAGGTTTTAGTGTTAGCTGCATAGGTAAATATTCTAACAAAAACATACCAAACGTATTCAGGTCTCAACAACCAATTTAGACATCTGCAATTTAACATGAGTTTGCAAAAGAAAAAAATATAACAAGAAAGATGGTGTTGCAAAACTATTCAGTCACGTATTTTCCCCCTCGCAAAAACACTTTATAAATAATTATGTTACTGGTTTATTACATGATGGTGTATAAAATGGACATACTGAAGTATCTGAAGTTACCTGAATATCTAAATATAGTGCTAGCAACTGGTTTAGAAGAGTTGCAATAAATAGCCGGGACTCTTTTCTTTATTATGCTCAGAGGTTAGTTTCGACATACTTGTGGTGTATAATCAATATTATTGGCATGTAACCATTGTTTCCAAAATCCAATTTCATATATATTTATAATACGTACAGTTACCAGAGGTTCTGAGATGTACTCAAGTTCAATTTATATTGTTTTTTTAACAGAGTTTGGATTAATTGCTAGCAGCATAGTTTTTTTCCAATAAAAAATCAAACATATTCAGGTCTCATTGATTATTTGAGACATCTTCAATTTAAAAACAAAAGGTTTTAAAAAGATCAAAAATATTATTACAGTTTATTTTCAATTTATTTTGAAACGATATTATTACAATGGTCAATTAAAATTCCTAATTAAATACTTCCTTAACTAGTTTAGACATTTATTTAATTTTCCTCTCGTAATTTTGATAGATAATTAGGTTGGAAATCCCACGAAGACACATTCACCCTCTAAATTGATTTTACAGTGCTGGCATTGGGAGGACTGGGACTTTTATCGGTTTAAATGCGTTGCTTTCTCGTGGCAAGAAAACAGGAAAAGTTGACATCCCCAGGTACATTGGAACCATGAGAAATGGCAGAATGAACATGATCCAGACATATGTACGTAGTGCCTGAACGAGTAACAAAGCTACATGATACAACGTGTAATTTCTACTGTATTTGTACACCAGCAATATACTGACACATACATTATTAATGTAAGTTATTGTAAAGCTGCGTTTTACTTTTACAATATATTTAGCTAAATTACCTTTGTAAAATAAAACGGATTTTTCTTAAACGGTTTTGTACCACTAATATTAATACCGTTCTCTGTGTGCATTACAGGAACAGTACATCGCCTTGCACGAATTACTTGTAGAAGGATTCAATTTACAAGAATCACTCATTGTTCGAGTGAATTTCCCTGCTGTCCTGGCAACAATGTGTCCTACTAATACACCAGCGAATCAGACAAAGATCCATCAGGAATTTAAGGTTTGAATCTGCTTAGAAATCAATAGAACATTTTGCATGGCATACAGTTAATATAATTTGTCTTTAATATGGAATATCTTTCTTTTTTATAGATGCAAATGTTTGATATTTAAGTATAATCACCGATCAATGATACCATCATGACGCTTTTATCTTCTCCTATTGCGTCTCTTTTGTTGTTGCAGACGTTAACAGCACTTACTCCAGCCTACTCGCCAAGTTGTTTTAAGGCTGCATTAATGGCAGAAAATTTAGAAAAGAACCGGAATAATGACATCCTAGCAGGTATTTCACTGTTGAATTGTATTGAAGTACAAACGTTGTAACTCGCACTGCTTACTAATATTGCCATTGCGATATTGAATGATTTAATATGAATTTTAGGTGATTTTACTTTTCTGGTTTTGTTTTGTTGTTCTATAGTGCGTATTGACTCCTTTGAAGTGGTACTTGATGCTATGCATAAATATAAATTGCTAAGAACTAGTTTAACCGTTGTCAGTATAATGCCACCAGTTGAATCACTATGATGTGTACTTCATCTTTGATTACTGTGTGCTTCCGGCAAGGTGTTTCAATGAGATACCATTCATCAGCATCATATCAGCTCTATTGGAAATACAGTCAAGGAAACATCATGTTCAAAGTTCAATGAACCGTTTGACTACTGAACTTTGTCAATATTTTAGCGCGGCTGTACGTGACCCGTGGTTGTAAATATGATTCAAATGTTTTGACTGAATCATATAACTGATTTATCAATGAATATGCTAAAACGATAATGTGTAGCACACATGTTAAACATAAATAATAATCACTGTATTGTTATAGTGCCTCATTATTCGATTTACGACATGACGAAAATCCCCTTCTTGCATGAAGTCACAACAATAATTTGTAGATTGTTTTGCAGATTTATTTCGATTCATACATACTCTGAGCTCTGATTGCATCCTCGTGTGATGAAGTTGTAGGATTGTTAATTTTATTTTACTAGATCACTTGGTACATGTAACGTGATTAACATATATTCTGCTTTGTGTTTTTTTAAGCGGACAAGTTCAGACCCTTTCTCCAGTCACAATTACCGAAGGTGACAGATTACATCAATGCTGTAATGATTCAGGTAATTATTGTCCATATCCATTACATAAGCTTTGACAAACTTAATGACTTATAACACACAGAAGAGATACGTATCGCCCGATTCACATGCATCAACCTTCGGTGGCTCAAGGCCTGCTGTATCCCACTGCTGGACTATAAGAGACAATCATTGTCGTTCTGTGTATAATTGGAGTGGATACATTCTTGTTTTCTATTTAGGGGACATTAAAAAACCGAAATTATACCTAGTATATCCCACTGCATGTGTATTTCGTCTGTGTGTATTGCAGTGTTACTCTTGTGAGCTGATACGGATTGTTATTTCATTTGTTTGTGAGAGTAACGTCATCAATTTTTTGAGAAAACGACGTTATTTTCACACACAGACCAATGACGTAACAACTCTGCAATACTCAAAGACGGAATAGGAATATCGCCGTAAGTGGAGCCTTCAGAATCGGCGGTTTTCTAGTAATAGGATATGGACGAGGTCATAACTGATGTTCTACCCTCTTTGCAACACTTGGGCTCGTTTTCGTTTTTAAACGTTTATGTCTACTTTCTTTCTTTATCTTATTCATTTTTCCCAGCGTTGCCTCCCAAGACAACCGTCAATATGACACTGGCCGTCGCAAGGTGTTTAACCCCTAACTTTTGTTGATTCTCGTGTGCTTTATAATGAACTCAGTTAATCCCTTTCTGCAGTCACACACTTCGATGTCGGGGTATCTGATGACACAGTTTCCTCTAATGGACACCATTGATGACTTCTGGACAATGGTGTTTGACTACAGCTGTGAAAACATCGTCGTCCTCGGAAAACCAACAGATGTTTGTAAAAACTGACACGTTCCTATATATTAATATATATATATCATTCATCAATTATCAAAAGGAAGTATCGTTTAATCTGCTCTTTATTATAAAACGTAATTGGTTTATATCATTATTTTGGTTTCTTTGTAAACATACTGAATAATCAGCTAAATAAGATGACTTGCTTAACATCAGATATACCGTATCATGACGTTTCCTTAAGTTGGTTTTGTCACATCCATAATATAATCATGTCGTCTTAAAAATCTCAAAAAAACATAGAAAGAGGATTGGCTTTTAGAGGAGGGCGGAGACTTTGCAGCAGGAAATGCCATTTCAGTAACAAAAATGCAGGATCGATCTCTAGACACCGAGTTGGCTATTGTAGACTACCAAGTTGAAAGGGAGGTAGGTAGTAAATGATGTAAAGATAACCAGCCAGATATTTGTGTGCAGAAACACAAATTCTATTTTTTTAGATATGCATTGCTCTTTTCAATGGAGTGAGCTTGGATATTATTTAATATCAAATGTCAAATATACTAATTACCACGATCGTGATGAGATAGTTAATAATAACCTTTGATTCTTAAAGAAATGTGATCCAATTTATAAAAAGCCTAATAGGATTGTTTGCTTATATAATATCATTATGACGTTTCTTTTGCCTAGTTGATGCTTTTCTAATTGGGTACATAGCTACAGTAATCTGTATATGAAACACTTTGATATTATTCACGCGAGTAGTGTACCTGGGAAAATTTATCTGGCCTTATTTGAATATGAATGAATAATATGACAAAAAAAAAATATCACACAAAACTATCAAGGAAATCCCCCAACTGCTTTGTTTTGGAAGACGAAATTTCAGACATTTTTTTGTTCAAGAGTTATTTCCATGCAAAACTGAAATGTGATCCGAGCATTGATAATATTAGTTACATGGATTTTTGGCAGGGTATACGGGATGGTATGTTCCTAAAGGGTTTCGTATTTCATGAGGCCGAATACGAAATTTCTCGAACTGTTCGTCCTGATTCTTTTCTTTAAAATACTACGTCCTCAGCATGTTTGTCGCTCGTTTTTCGACTTTTGTGTGTTATGTGGCACATAGTTAGCCTTTTTGGCGATTATTTCTTCATCAGTATGCGAGGAAAAAAGGTTTGTCCATTTTGTAAACAGCGAAGCAGACGACGAAAGCGAGTTGTCTCACGATGCCCGGCCGCAAGATAAAAAGACACGTGACCCGTATACCACTTGTAAAATCACGTGATTTCACCGTATTACTGCTGAGAATCACGTGACATGACCGTATACCCCTTGAGATTTCCGTATACCCCCTGAGATTTACGAATGCGGTTTGGTACACTGTAGTTTTTAACCAATCAGATTCCTAGATTTTTCTCAAAGGGATAATAAGGACTTTTATCAATTGAAATACAAAATAGTATATGCAGATATAGTAAATATGTGGTATACAATCATGATGTCCACCGACAAGAATTAGAGTACTTAGTTGTATACCATACCTGCTTATATTATGATAATTTATTTATGAAAAGTGTCGTATCATTTGACAATATACCGAATAACAGATATATCTTAGTGACCGTGCATGTCTCGTTGACTAGTTTTATATATTAAATAATCTGCTATGTTGGAGGCCGTTATGAGGTCATGTCAACTCCCTTACAAATGCAAACTAAATAAGAAACTGTCAACCAGTAAAGGTAATATTTTCAGATTCAGTTTTTTGGATGATAGTCAAAACTACTTAGTAAACTAGTATCTATATATATTCTGAAGTAAAGCAAGCGGTAAACTGTCTTATCAATAAATCATAAACATATTAGGTAAATTTATCATAACAGTCGGAAATGTGTGTTACTGTATTAAATTTAAGCGGACTATAATTTAAAATCATTATTTTGTGTCATCTAATACACAGCGATCCGGCAGTGAAAGTAAGACTATCATGATTTTTAGTCTGTCCCAGTGGTCATCGGACTCTTTACTGCCTCCATCTGACTCGTCTCTTCTCCAACTTTTGGAACAGCTAGACAGTCGGCGACGTTCAGACAACACAATACCTGTTGTTGTCATGTGTCGGTTAGTAGGACGCCGTTCTTTTACCATAATATGTGGATGATACCGTCAGTGCTATGGCATAATTAAGCTGTAATACGTTTATACAGTTGTTTTATTATTAGATCAGTGGTAGGTTGTTCAACTGATGAGCTAAAATCATAGATTGCATTTTGTTATCCTTATATGAAAATATGATTTGTCTTCTGCAGGGACGGATGTACACAAAGTGGACTGTTCTGTTGTATATCCAATATCAGAGATCAAATGAAGATGGACGAGGAGGTGGACATATTCCAAACAGCAAGGCGGTTGAAAAAGCGGCGACCAGAGGCGCTAGAAAATGTTGTAAGTTTTATATCAACTGTAGAATCATATATTTTTGTGGGGTTAATATTTCGTGGTATTCATATACTAGCCTTTTTCAAGGGCATTATGTTTCACTGATTTCTTTTTTTCAACTATATATATCATACAAAGTTTATGTTTTCGTGTGGATTTAATTTTGTGAATGTTTGTTATTCACGAAAAATACGGAATTTGATGTCCCACGAAAATATATGATTTTACAGTAATGGAAAAATGTAATCTTAATCACACAGCTAAGATTTGTATTAACCCCAATAATAATGATTCTTTCAATAACCTTGTAACGTCTGTTAATCATTATGATAACGTTACTATAAATGCTGTGTTAATTAAGCATTCTAAAACATTATTCGATTAGTTTTAATAAACAAACTGATGCTATGTTTACGAAATATCTTCTCTGTTTACGAATGTCTTGTAATGTATTTTTTATTGCATTTTAGAAACAATACCAGTACTGCTACAACATTCTGGGGCTATATCTGGATTCAATAGACGTATACGTCAATTGAACAAAACGCAATGCGTGTTTAGTGCTATACGCCAAATGTATATAGATTCGCATCAACTGAAAATAATCAAATGAGTACATGCACATTGCTACACTTAATAGGTTGGCTTTGATTGAGTCCCTGCATCTTCAAAGAAGGCTTTCAAATAGTTGCATCCTCTCTTCATTGTTTCAGTGATTATCATAAACAGCCCTCATATAGTGATATCCTTCACGTGTGTATATCATTTTATATACATGTACAGTAAATGTTCCCAACTGCTCAAATATTAATTGAATACAACCAACATTGGTTGTGGCATGGCAATGGAACAACATATTTGTTTAATTCAACAGATTTGCGTTTCAACTGAACAAAAACATTGTGTATTGAATATAATCATGCTTGATGTAAAGAGTAAAGAGCGCATATAATTATTCGTCTGAATACAAAACTCAATATGATTAATTACTGTATATGCATAATTTTATCAAGAAAGTGTTTCCCATATAACACCATTAGAATAATTCACTGGAACAGTTTACGCACAAGACTTTGAATTTCCATTTATTAGTATCGAATGTCTGTTATACTGATAAGGCATTTGCATGCATCTGTGTTTTACTTCAGGATTCCATGTTTCGAGTCCCTTTCTCAAGT